ATATAATGACTTTTCTTCTAAAAAAAAGAGATGATAATAAAGCATTCCGAGAACACTTAGGGTTTGTTTGGTGTGGCTTATGAGAGCTTTTGCTTTCTAAGTACTGTTATAAGTGATAAATTTAAATTTTTATTGGAGGAAAAATTTAAAAATTGCTTTTAAAAATAGAAAAAAATGAGTAAAAAGAGAGTTTATGGAAAGTCACGAGTTCTTTTAACGAGTCACGGGTCACGGGTCATTAATATATGACCCTAACCCGTTTTAAACAGGCGAGTAATGGGCGGGTTAACGAGTTTGGTAAAAAATTGCCAAGTCTGCACTATGGATACTAGTTTTCATAGTATCTAGGTATAACCACTTCTTTTCCACTTAACATAATTTTCAAACAATGTTCTTGGATATTATATGGTTGTATTGACATTAAGAATGTGTTTCCTAACATTAATTTTATACTTGCAGTTATTTCTGTTTCAGTATGAGCTGTTATAGTAATTTTATATTGGATCTTATTCTTATCCTCTATTCGAAGAGATACTCTAGCATATTTATGTATTGTGGTTACTACACTATTAAAGTTGTAATATGTATATGGTGTAGGGAGTTCAAATCTTTGTAGGTGTGGAATCATATCGTTATGAATATGTGTTACTCTTGCCCTTGTATCTATTACGATAGAATGTTATGCCATTCTTTTCCATCATAATAATCTCCTTTTATTTTGAAATGTCTAGAAGGAATTTTTAAGGTGTCTAACACGATCTCATGCTTTATACTAGTCATTCTGGTTAAGACCTCTTTATCTTTCTTAGGATAATGCAGAGCTCCTAAGTCCACACTATTTCTATGGCTGGGTTGAGGTTCCGTTTTAACTAATAGTTTTCTTGACTCATATGCCATTAGTCTAGGCTTTTCTCTTTCTCCTGTTAGGAGTGGTTTTTCACTAATTTCTATTTCTCATTCTCTGGGTAGTTCTATTTCAGTTATCATTTCTATTTGTCTTATTTCAAAGAACATAGGATCTAATTCAATTTATTTTTTATCTTTAAAAAGATTAGATTGATGACTATTAGTCAATGCATAACTTATTATATAGTAAATATTATATGGCATTGATCCATCTTTCATAAAGTTTTCTCTAGCAAATTCATGTGCTAAACTTAAGGTTTTATTAATATTTCTATCATTAATGTTTACAACGTATTTTGGATACACTGTAAACATAAGTTTTTTGGTAACTAAGGTTACCTTGCACTAATCCAAGGATAACATCCTTTTTATTATTGATTCTATGATCTATTAAAGCTAATTTTATTGGGGTGCCTATTCCTTCCCTAAAATGAGCTTTAATAAATATTTGTATTCCTCCAATATGGATAAAACATATCTTTGATCTATCAGTTTCTTTGATTTTTGACAGTTAGTTTTCTATTTCTGCCTTGATAATTAAATGTACATTTATTATTCCTGTTGTATTCTTGATAGGAATATTATATTCTTAAGTGAATATTCCATAATAAACTATATCTTTCCTCTTAAAAGGATTACTTATAAAGGAATTTGGTTCGAATCCTTTTTATGAAACAAGGTGCATTCTCTTTTGTCTAATTCTTTTATATTTTCTTCTATCGAATACAGTTATTTGATTGTATTCTCCATGTCCTTCATTTTCTTCAGAATAAGCTTCTCCTTCTTCAATATTCTGATTCATCACTTCTGATTCATCACTACTAGAGGTATGTAAACTTTCCAGTTTATATACACTTTTTTTGCTACTTATTGAACTAATATCTATTTCACTTAATTCTTCTTCATAAATATTTAGGTTTTGGTACTTTCTCTTTTGTATCTTTTAGGACATTTATTTGCATAATGCCCTTCTTCTTTACACAACCAGCATTTGCATTTCTTAGGATTCTTTTTATGCTTTTTTGATGTTTTAGTTTTCTTAAAATACCTCTTTTTCTTTCTAGAAAATTTGTTCTTATTAAATCTTTTTTTATTACTTCTTTTAATTCTAAATTTCTTGTTTTCTTGTTGTAGTTGGTGTAACTACATCCTAACTCGATTGTATCACTATTCTTAAATCTTTGTTTATTACTAGAAAATTTGTTCTTATTAAATCTTTGTTTATTATTTCTTTTAATTCTAAATTTCTTGTTTCTCTTGTTGTAGTTGGTGTAAATACATCCTAACTTGCTTGGATCACTATTCTTAAATCTTTGTTTATTATTGAACTAGTATCTATTTCACTTAATTTTTCTTCATAAATTTTTAGGTTTTTGGTACTTTCTCTTTTGTATCTTTTAGGACATTCATTTGCATAATGCCCTTCTTCTTTACACAACCAACATGTGCATTTCTTAGGATTCTTTTTATGCTTTTTTGATGTTTGGGTTTTCTTAAAATACCTCTTTTTCTTTCTAGAAAATTTGTTCTTATTGAATCTTTGTTTATTACTTCTTTTAATTCTAAATTTCTTGTTTCTCTTGTTGTAGTTGGTGTAACTACATCCTAACTTGATTGGATCACTATTTTTAGGACAATATAGTCATCTTTTCATACTCTTTCTTAGTTTGTTCTAATTATAGGTTTCTAGGTACCATTCATTAAATTTGGTTTTAGCAAACCAAATCCTTAATCCTAAAGTATCTTTCTTATCTTCTACATATATTCTATAGGCTTCCGCCAATTTTATTCCCCAAGGATTAGGAATTTTTCCAAACAACAATTCCATTAGGCCTTTAGTTATTCCATGATTTAAAACTTTATAATAGTATTTTAGGAATATGCAAATGTATTGATCTAATTCATAGAGAGTGCATAATTCTAAATTTTGCAAATTCCATACTGTTATTCTTCCAATTCTTGCCTCTTCTCTTCCTTGATTTTTTTCCCAATTTTCTCCTAAGAATTCTCTCTTTATGGCTGATTCAAATATATTTATTATGTCTTGAATTGCTTCATTTTCATTAACTTCTTCCAAAGTAGGATTTTCACTTATAATAATATTAATTTCTTCTTCATTTAGAGTGGCAAACTAGTCATGAACTATCCCTTTAAAGGTGACTTTGATAAATCTAATTGCTTGTAAGGCATTCCAATTTTTGTTTGCTATGGCTATCCGAGTAGCTTGATCCTAGTCACTCATGACCTCCTCTGGGTCAGTAACACAATATAGATATAGTCAAATACCATTGGTACTAATTATCTATTCTTTGACTCTAATTGGCGTTTCAAGTCTAGATTGATTCCCAAATCTTTTACTCTTTTAATCATATATCACTTCATGTGTTAGATTTTTGTTTCTTCTATAGCTTTGGCTTATACTAGATTCTACACTAGGTGGCATTGGAAATTCTGTTAGGGTTATATTAGGATGTGCCTCATCCTTTTCTTCTTCACTTTCCTCTTTTATTTCCTTTTTTTGAGTATTCATTTTCATATTTTCTAATTGCTCAATAGTTATGTAATCTGTTTGCTTAAATTATCTAGTTCTTCTACATTTTCTTCTTCTAAGAATTTTTGTTCAAGTTCTTTCAACTTTACTTCTTTGGGTTTAACATGAAAAGTGTTATTCCTTTTGATTTAGGCTTTTCCGTGAAAATCTTCAAGATTATTTTAAATCCTTTATTTTTATCTATAATATTTTGCATACTACAGATTGATATTATAGTATCTTATAAATCCTTAAGTTGTGTCTAGATCCTATAAAAATTTTTATTTATATCACTTTCTAGTTGTGGAATTATTCTATTATATCTCTTTAAACTTTTATTGCAAATTTTTCAACGATTGCTTTTAATATCTTGAAAATTTCTTCTATTTTTATTTCTATTTCTCTTGCTTGAGATGTCAAAGTCTTTGAATCTATAATAGACCTTATTTCTTCTTTTATTTTTTTCAAATTTCTAGAATTTTTGACATCATTTATTCTTTCTTTAATAGAATCAAATTCTTAAGAAAGGGATTTTCTCATTTCTTTAATTCTTCTTAAGGTATTTTCATTAATTGTTTCTATTTTTAGAATCTTATCAATGATAATTGTGTCTTCTATATCTATTATACTTTTACTCAATGTATTGAGTAAGTATATGTTAATTTGGTTTATTTGTTCATTACTCATGCTAATAGAAGTGTATTAATAGTATTTCGAAGTGTATTTATTTTTTCTCTTTCTATTCTTATTTTGTAATTAAGAGTTTTAACTTTTATTGTATTTTCAATTTTTACTTCTAAAGTTTCTCGTTCTAAGTTTGTCAAGTTTCTTTTTTAGAATTAAGCTAATTGCTCAATTTCATTACAAATTCTAACTAATATATCCATATAAAGTGTTCTTTGATTCATCATATTTTATTGAGATTATAATGTCACTTTTTTAAAACTTAAAAGATTGTTTTATTTTAATTTTAAATTGATTTTCTTGTGAAAACTAACGAAAAAAATCTTGTATGGTAGATTATTTTGAAATATTTTTAAAATTTTGTAGATCATTTAAGAATAAGACATATTTTTTAAATTAAAATAAAATAAAATAAATAATTAATAAACTAATTATTGAATTAAACCATAGTGCTCCTGTAATAAACGCAACCGACACTGGCTTTTTTTTTTTTTCTTTTTTTGAACACAGAGAGATTTGTAAGGAAAGGCGTGTAGGGTCTGAGATTTAAATTAAGTCATTATGTCCACACAGCTATTCAAGGGGGTGGCTGTTAAGCCACCAAAGTTGGACGCAACCGACACTGGCTCTTGAATGCAGACAATTTAGTCATTTTCATGGTAATTCTCTGCCAATTTAATTTCAAAAATTT